ATCTTTATCAAAACAGGCATGCTTATTCTTTGGCCCGACCTCCTCCATGCAAAATTTCACGATGTTCGGGTCATTATTTCGGCCTGTGGAGCGACCAGAAAAACCGACAAAAATTTAGTAGTTGGTCCATTTCATCCCCTAAATATTAACCGATTTTTCCCAAAAACAATAGGGATCTTCATTGGCCAGAACCCATCCTACATGCAAAATTTCGTGAAGATTGGTCCATAACTGTGGCCTGTATCGTGTTTACAAATTATAATGGACAGACGGACGGACGGACGGACGGACACACATGTCTAGATCGACTCAGCTAGTCGAGATATGACGATCGGTATACTTAAAGGTGGGTCTAGGACCAATATTTCGCGGCGTTACAAACTTTTGGGGCTGCACAAAGCTATAATACCCTGACAACATAGTTGTGTAGGGTATAAATACTTCCATTATTTATTTTTGTATAATGAAGTGAATTTGTGATTCATTCTTAACGACTCAAATGATATAGTGATGAACCTATGTTTTCACCAACTTCCTACCTCAACAAGGTGCATAAGTCAACGTTCTGATAAATGCAACGTATACATATATTCTTTGTGTACGAATAAATTAAAAATCGAACACTTTATTTAATAAATAAATTAATCAATTTAAAGTGGAAATTAAATATTGTGCTCTTAACTTAATGAGTACACACTCTTGATAAAATAAAATAAAAATATTGACTAATGCGATATTTAAATAATGACTAATACAATTACTGAAAAATGTACAGAAGTTGTTTGAAATAAAGTACTTTTCATTACCTATAACACTGGGCAACAGATGGAAGGTTACATAATCTGCCTTGATATGTTCGTAAACAAAAACAAAATTGCCAGATTGGGCAAAAGTCTATTTACTATTTTTTTTATGTAGGTGGAGTGTATACCAATTTTGTCAATATAGTGTACTTGCAGATAATCTTCAGTAAAATAATTTCCGGCTGATTTTGAATTTGCACCTTATGGTGGAAGGGATTAAAATTTTCTCCGGCCGAATTTGTATGGCGATTAATTAGAGTAACTTCTGGTATTGTGGACCATGCGTCAAATGTGGACCACCCCCCATATCTAAGAAAATGCTTGAAATATGCCAATGCCGCCTTGATAAATGTTTTCCTAATTAGTGAAAACAAACATCAAACTTGGTTTTTAATAAATAATTGCAATGTTGAAAATTTAGTAGGTGAAAATGTAGCTCTGATCTTAAAAGTGTGACTTGAAAATTTTTTAGCACAATAGTCGAACGATTTTGTAAAATAGTCGAACATTTTGTTTTTCTCGAATATAAAGAGGTTATGTGGTTTTCTTGTTTTCTTTAACAAAAATACACGTTTATCTGTAATTACTTTCGGTTATTTTTACATTTTTATTCATTTTTCAAGCCGATAATTATTTTTAAATAAAAATATTCAATGTCGGGTAATGTGGACCACTATAAAAAAGTGGGACATTTTCATGAGGACGAGTTCGAAACAAGGGCGCATTTAATATGCGAGGAGGTATTGTATCCTCTGAAAACTCGATATCCGAAATTATAGGTGCCTCGGTTGGATAATGAAGCAAGGACCTTCAAAATACCGCAAATGGGGTGGTACCCTTAAATGGGGGCTATTCCAAAACATAAACCCATTTATTTTTGCATTTATTGTTACCCAGGAGTGCAATAAATTGAAATTTATCACAACCAATCCACAACCTACCTTTAACTTACTGATCCTCATTACCCACACATACTGGTCCACATTACCCGCCAAGTTATTTTTATTCGCAGTTTAGAGCTTTTTGAAATATAATGCAATAACGTTTTTATGGACAAATATATATAATGTTTGACCTGGAATATAATTAGCCAACAAATCTACCATGCTGTGAAAACAATTTGTTTTTATTTTTTACCGTTGTTACGCCCACAATATCAAAAAAAGAAAATGGTGGTCCACATTACCCGAAGTTACTCTACCTTCCTATATCGCTATGCAAAACTTGTTTAATGAATTAAAACATGACCAACGCCAAGGTGGCCCAAAAACGACAGGCATTTCTTCCACCATCATACATTCGGTATTGCTTGAACACATCGATCGGTCATATTAAAAAGGTCAGAATTACGATCAATGTGCTAAAGTACTTTTTAATATCATTACTGCTAACAAATCGTGAGTCAAACTCACCGACAGTTTTTCGTCGCAAAAGCACTGCGAAGCAAATAGAAACATGTTTCTTCGGCAAAAATGGTCATGTGGCGACTGTTCCCCTAGTTTTGTCTGAGGGTTTGCCTGGAGTTTTCAGAGAAAAGCGAACAATAGAAGAAAAATCATTGCGTACCCCACACATCTCATGCATCGGCTCAAACCAGCGCCTTTTTGACCGGCCAAGCCCTTCTTAATATAATCGACTCTATATTTTCTGAAATTGATCAAATCGTTCCTTTATACGAAAAATTTTTAGAACTTTACCCTTTGTGGTACTGATAGGCCCCATCTTCCGACTTGATCTAGGTTTAGTAACAATATTATGACGTGCAAAATTTGGATTGGATTAATATTGGATTAATATTGCAACTAGATCTAGGATTGGATTAAATTGTATATTTCGTCGTTTCAAATGAGATTTTCAAAATGTTGACCCTTTGCGGGGGGAGATACAAAAGGAGTGGACTGAAGGAACTCTATCTTCAAACAATTTGTTTGTATGTTTGTAACAGACAAAAAGAAACGAAATAGACACATGGTTCTTTTTGAGAATATGCATAAATATCTGACTTGATTTATGCATGTCCGTCCGACCGTGTATTTTTGTGGGCAAATTACAGGTCGCATTTGTGATCCGAATTGGATGAAATTTGGCACAGTCCATGTATTTGGCCCAAGGACGAACCCTATTGGAATTGGAAAAAATCAGTTTAGATTTTGATATAGCTCCCATATATATTTTCGTCCGAATTTATCTAAATGTTGCGCCAAAGACCCAATAGATTTATATATAGCTCCCATATATAGTTTTGTCCCAATTTATGTAAATGGTGCACGTAACTACCAATTTTTGTCCGATTGAGACAAAATTTGACATAACATATGAAATTGAGACTAGGATAGAGTGTGTTAAGTTTCATTGAAATCGGATCAGATATAGTTAAAAATCCCATATATAGCTTCGTCCGATTTTTTGTAAATGGTGCATCAAACTCCGAATTTTATGAAACTAGAATAGAATGTGTTAAGTTTCATTGAAATCGGTTCAGATTTATTCCTAGCTCCTAAATATATATATATATATATATATATAGCTTCGTCCGATTCGCACCGAAGTGCCTACGTTTGGTGGCCAGAGATTTTAGTGGCCATTGTGCGCTGGAAATGAAGCGAGGAACCTCATTTTTTAACCATTTTTGGGTGGCACGTGCTGGTGCAATGGTGCTGAGCCCTGTTGGAATTTTCAAGGTCTGCTGCCAAAATGGTTGCGTGCCCAAGGCTTTAATACACCCTCCAGAATATGTTAGATACTACGAGCGGAGAGCGACCATCGGCTGTTATGGCGGACCACACCATCACCATCGCCGACGCTTGAGTTCTGGTGGCCAACCGAAGGTGCACATTCAGCTGACCTCTTTGGCAAGTAAACACGAAAACCAAATACGCCAGTTCACCGCTTTCGGTCCAGCGAAGCAACTTTTTGGCTCTTTTGAGTCTATTTTCTTTCTGTGACGGTGTAAATTCTTACACTTTTAGTAATTTTAATGGCTTTATCCCGAGCTAATTTTTCAATATTTGCCGAACGGAATATTGCGATATGATCGCTTCTTTACTTTTCGAACCTTTGCTGCTGATGTTGCTGTTTTCTTCCGTCCACTTCCTTGACGCCGGGCTACGCTACTTGTAGCATAGTCACGGTAACGAGCGATGGCACGAGACACAAAACGATAGCCACTTATGGTTTTCCAGCCAAAAATAAGAAATGACAGCAGTCTGAAGTTAATGGCAGTGTTTTCATCTCAACCTGTATATTTCCATCTGATTTCATCTAAAAGGTGTACCAAATAACAAAAGTTTTTTTTCCGATTGGGACGAATTTCTGCACAACGTATAATATTGTAGATAGATAGCGTATGCCACGGTTGCTCAATTAGGTCCTGGTTTACGCCACCACATGTCCATAGTGGGACATACACTTAAACACAGCCAATGTCTGCTGTGCGCTCTAGCAAATAAAAAGAAGAAAGACGCGTTGTGCTAAAAGGTTTTGCGTAGTTCAAACCTATAGCGTGTAAGTCAGTAGAACTTCTGGGGAGTAGATTCGCCATCTCATTGATTATAATTCTTATTTGTTCTGGTACCCATTTGATTCTTAAAAGATCGTGCCACTAGAAACTATTTGAGGTTCCAGGGTAGTTTTGGATTTAATTGTTTAGACGTTATTGCATTTATAGCTTGTTTGAACTTAACCTGTTAAGAGGACCCCCATTCTCGTTTTCCAAAAATTGCAATTTGTTTTTAATTCGAAAATAAACTAATTTAAGAATGCCCCTTTAAAATTTCAAGGGAAAATCTCAAGAACTTTTAAAGAAATAGTCGATGTATTATTGTGTTAGCATCAAGCGACGACAAGAGCGTTTCTCAAACTTTTAAACAAAATTGTGCCATCTAATTTTCTTATTCTTTAAGTCTTCAAATACATATAAAATTTCAAATCTAAAATGGTAGGTCCCCTTAAGATAATTCATTATAGCTCGAAACCTTAGCCTTTTTGCTAAGGAAATAATAATATCCCTCAACATTTTGCTAAGATAATGTGAACATTTTAATTTATTTGTTACACAGTGTAATATTATAAATCAACTTAGAAATTCTGAAGTACGTAAATATACTTAAAAAAAGATAAAATGTGACACTGTCCAACGGTTGCTTGCGAATATATATTACAGTTCCCAAATATTAGTTAACAAGAAAATTCAGCAAGATGAAGACCTTACAGGGATATACTGTAGCGATTTTTATAATTATTACGTTTGTAAACTTGTGCATTGCAAGTCCCACATGGTATACAGCAAATAATGGCAAACGATATCTCATCGAACTTGATACTAAGGTATGTACGCAAAATTGAAAAGTGATTTTTTATTCTATAAAAATTGTTCTTGTTTTTAGTTAAATTGGCTACAGGCTAACAGCGAATGTAAACGTAGAGGATTACAAATTTTGGAAATCGATAGCTATGACAAAAATTCACAAATCAAAAATATTTTGCAGAAAATTTGGGGTAAGAACTTGTCATCGTTCATTTGCTGCAAGATCGGTATAAATAAAAAAATCGATTTCAGAAAACTCAAAAATATTTTTTTTATTAATCCCGGGCTTGGATCAAATGAGCGATATTATGTTAAAAAATAGCATCGACCGAAATGCCGACAACAGATTCTAATTTATTAAAAAATCGTTTTTTCTAGGCGGTTCCAAAAATATTTGGTTAGGTTACCACGATGGCTTTAGTACATCTATGGATAATAATCGTCCATTTTACTCTATATCAACGGGTTTACAAATCAACTACAAAGATTGGTATACCAGTGGAATATCTAGTCATGAATCCCAAGGACATTGTGGTCAGATATCAAGTGATCACAATTTACAATGGATTGCTGCCGACTGTTCCACAAAAAATGCATTTATATGTGAGGCATCCACTTCCTCTCAGAATTCTTCTGATAACAATAAGCGTCAAACGATATTCGAAGCCAATCAAAAAATATCCGCCGAATTTACAAATTTGCAAAGTAAAATGAGACAAGCTAATGAGAATATACGCCAAACAACATTATCCGCTTTGGAGAGACAAAAAAGGTCAACGAATGATTTAATTGCCGATGTCAAAAAGTCTATTGAGAATATATTGAACAAGAATTCATTCCTGTCGTCTATAATGGCAGATTACATTAAAATGTTTACTACGCTAGTTGCAGAAAAGGAAGCTGAATTATCCAGAATATCAGAGGAAACTCAAAGAACTATCCTTAGTTCTCAAAGTCAGGGTCAAAATTCACTGAATGAATTGACATCGAAGTTTGCAAATGATCTGACCAGCAACACTAATGAAATAAATCGATTATTGGGTTTGTAATTTTATTTTTAATTACGTGTTACTTACTAAATTTTTAATGAAATAATAAAAATGTGAATTAAACTTCCATCATATAAGACCTCTGAACATTCTGTAAAACCATTTGTTCTTCTATTGGACCTTTGGGCCTTCTACACAGAAAAAATAGTTCATATATTATATGAATAGTGGGTTTGTTGTTCATTTCAATAGATGTTTGACATATTGCATTTAGCATTTATATCGAAATAATTTGGAAAATACATATGCGAATTTTGTAACACCAATGAAGACGTCCGTATGTGCGTCTGGAATAAAGATGCAATGGAGTGTAAAATTAGTAACAAATGAGTGAGTGAAAACTCAGCGGCCGTTAGCAATAGACCCAATAGTCAAATAAATGGTTGCAAAAATATGAAACACCAAGTAACGAGAGAATCCAGCGGACAAATGAGTGGGAGGAATACATTTATTTTTGTCAAAGAGAGAGAGAGAGAGAAAAAAAAGGGAGGGAGTAGAGGTAAAGTAGAATCAATAGTCAAATAAATGATAGCAAAAATAAGAAACACCAAGTAACCAGAGAACCCAGCGGAAAAATGAGTGGGAGGAATATATTTATTTTTGTCAAAGACAGAGAGGGAGTGGGAAAGAAAGGAAGGGAGAAAGAGAGAGGTAAAGTAGAGCGAAGTAGGAAAATAGTTGTAGCATTAAAGAAATCTTTACATTTTTTGGACATTATTATAAGACTTTTTACATGTATTCAAATCGACCATCATAAGGCGTGGATTTGTGAAATAATTCTTTCAAGGACCAGCATACGGCGTGGATTCTGAAAATAATTTTTTCAAGGACCATCATAAGACATGGATTTTTAAAATAATTTTTTTCAACGACCATGGATTTTTAAAGTCATTTTTTAAGGACCATCATAAGGCGTGGATTTTTAAAAGAACCATCATAAAGAACCATTTAAAAGTCATTTTTTTAAGGACCATCATAAGGCGTGGATTTTTAAAGTCATTTTTTAAGGACCATCATAAGGCGTGGATTTTTAAAGTCATTTTTTAAGGACCATCATAAGGCGTGGATTTTTAAAGTCATTTTTTAAGGACCATCATAAGGCGTGGATTTGTGAAATAATTGTTTCAAGGACTATCAGAAGGCGTGGATTCTGAAAATAATTTTTTCAAGGACCATCATAAGGCGTGGATTTGTGAAATAATTTTTTCAAGGACCATCATAAGGCGTGGATTTGTGAAATAATTTTTTCAAGGACCATCATAAGGCGTGGATTTGTGAAATAATTTTTTCAAGGATCATCATAAGGCGTGGATTTGTGAAATAATTGTTTCAAGGACTATCAGAAGGCGTGGATTCTGAAAATAATTTTTTCAAGGACCATCATAAGGCGTGGATTTGTGAAATAATTGTTTCAAGGACTATCAGAAGGCGTGGATTCTGAAAATAATTTTTTCAAGGACCATCATAAGGCGTGGATTTGTGAAATAATTTTTTCAAGGACCATCATAAGCCGTGGATTTGTGAAATAATTTTTTCAAGGACCATCATAAGCCGTGGATTTGTGAAATAATTTTTTCAAGGACCATCATAAGGCGTGGATTTGTGAAATAATTTTCTCAAGGACCATCATAAAGCTTGGATTTGTGAAATAATTTTTTCAAGGACCATCATAAGGCGTGGATTTGTGAAATAATTTTTTCAAGGACCATCATAAGGCGTTTCAAGGACTATCACAAGGTTCTTCCTTGGGCAAAATTAGCTGTGCAAAATATCATCTCATTTGATTATAAATGCGACCTGGACGGACATGCATAAATGGACAAATGGAAAGTAGCTATGGAACCACTTCTTTTCATTTTGCATACAAATATACACATGGAAATAATACCCTGTAGTTTCGGTATAGAGTATAACACTATCTTATGGTGAAGAGTATATGAATTCAAGTTCAATGTCGAACACTGATATACATATCTTTAAAACAATAACATTAACACTCTTGATTAAAAAATGTTAGATATTTCTATCTACCGCAATAAACATATTTATGACATTTGATATTTTTATCAATCAAATTTGATCACAATTATTTAGTGTATAAAAACTCGTGAAACATCTTCAAAACGTATCATTACATTTCATTGTGAACATGAAGCTTCAAAAAATATTCAACGTTTGTATTGTAATTTTCACAAGCGTTTGTATTGGCGTCGGTGAAGCATTGCGGGACTGGTTACAGGCAGAAGACGGGCACAAATATTTCATTGAGACAGAAAATAATGTAAGAAAATATTGTTAGTGATCTTTGCCCCTTTTTTAAATTTTTTTAAAATTTTAAATTTATTTTAGTACGAATGGCACAAGGCCTCAGCCGAATGTAAACGTCGTGGTCTGCGTTTGGTAGAAATTGAAAGTGCTGCGAAAAACAAGGCATTAGATATCTTGCTAAGAAATGCATTTGGAAGTATGTGAACCAGTTTACTTTTTGCTTAAATAATTTCAATATTTTTACCATTTTTAGATTCTTTGCCATCTCTATGGATTGGTGCCACCGATCTTGAAGTCATCACTGAAAAAAATCGCCCATTCTATTGGTCTATGACGGGTAGGCGTGTGAAATTTGCCGATTGGAGCAAAAATCAGCCAGATAATTACAAAGGAAATGAACATTGTCTTCATTTATATGCTCCATATAATTTGAAGTGGAATGATGCGCCCTGTACCATGAAACAGGGATTTATTTGTGAAGAGAGATTTATTGGTAGTTAAAAAATTTGTGTTAATAAAAAGGATTCCGGTTTTGGAAAATGGTCATACGAAAAACAAAGTGTTATTTTATAAAAGTGCAAGAGGAGAGGAGATAAAGCCCTCTTATATAACCATGAACGGTCTAACTGAGATCCAAGCGAACTTATGGACGCCAAATGGTCTTAATGTATTATTCAATTGTATGAAATTTGACAGGGCTTATTTATTTTGTAGATATAGTTTGAACATTTCTGTAAGGGGACTTTCCCCTATTTTCGGTTTCAAATAATTGAATTTTGTTTTATATTAAATTGCAGGTTGCAGAATACCTATGCAAAATTTAATTTCATTCAGGCAGTTTTAGAGTCGTTAGCGTATAAATTTGTGTGAATCTTTTTAAAGCAAACTTGACACACGCTTTTAGGTGTCAATCGGCCTTGCTTTGTGTATTTTGTGCACCATTTACTTAAAATCCGACAAATATATATGGGAGATATATGTAAATCTGAACCGATTTTTACGAAACTTAGCAAACATCATTCTAGACTCCATTCATTACGCTATGTTAAATTTCGTAAAATTGAAAGAAACGTAGAGACTTTGGTACACCATTCACATGAAATCAAAAAAAAAAAATATATATATATATATATATATATATATATGAGATCTATATCTTAATCTGAATCGAAAGTAATTCTCTACATATTCTCAAAAGGAACTCATGTTCTCATGGTCTGTCAAATCTTCTAAAAAATAATCAATATTGAATCAATATTTTCGGAATTCCTGGTGAATTAAATAATTCTGTCCAGAATATATTCGGTTTATGTTATTTTTTTATGTAGCCAAAAATGTTGCTATAAATATCCGGTGTTGTAAGGATATTATAGCTTTGTGTGTCCCAAGAGTTTGTAACGTCGCGAAATATTTGTCCTAATACACCTTTTAGTATTCCGATCGTTATATCTCGACTAGCTAAGTCGATATTGACATTTGTGCCACTCCATCCATCCGACTGTCCATTATACTTTGTAAATACGATACAGGCCACAGCTATGGACCAATTATCATGATGTTTAGCATTTAGGACGGGATTTGACCAAAAAAAGACATATATTGTTGCTGATAATGATTGGTTAATATTTATGGACCAAAAACTTTAATTTCGTCTGGTTCTCTAGTCGCTCTCGAGGCCACAATTATGACCCCAACACCACAATTTTACATGAGAAAGGGAATCTTTGCCAAAGAATAAGCAGTGATGTTTGAGCCCAGACTTTTGTGTAAAAAAATGAAAGATATTTTAAGGCGTATTCTATGGCGTATTTACTTCTGGGGACCATATGCCCTAGAAGTTAATAGTATATCCAAGAGGAGTGATTGAATTATATTGTTGTGTGTACTCGGTTGTGGGAGTTATACTTAAATATTAGGTTGGGAAAAATAAATCCATTATGCCGGTCGTCGAAAAATCATAACATCGCACAAGACCTAAATATCGGACATAAAACTGTTTTAAACCATTTACACAAATTAAAAAATAAGCTCTATGTATGGGTGGCACACCAATTAACGGAAACAAAATAGGATGGGTCGAATTTCCAACTGCGAAGCCTTGGCCAAACGGAATGAGATAGACCCATTTCTTAAAAGGATAAACCTGTGCGAAAACGATCGTGGTGCAAGAGCGGTGAAACACCTGCGGTGAAACGATGACCAAACGGCGATTAACGGCCAGGAAGGTTCTAATATGCATTTAGTGGGACTGGAAGGGGATTATTATGAGTTGCTTCCACGTGGCCACACGCTAAATTGTGATCTCTACTGTCAATAACTGGACCGCTTGAATATAGCAATTGACCAGAAACGGCCAGAATCAGCCAACAGGGGTGTCGTGTTCCACCAAGACAACGCTAGGCCGCACACTTCTACAGCGATTCGCCAGAAACTTCGGGAGTTTGGCTGGGAAGTTCTAATGCATCCGCCATACACTCTGGACTTGGCACCAAGTGATTATAATATTTTTCTTGTATTGCAAAATTTCTTTAGTAATTAAAAATTGGTATCTAGGGAAGATTGCGAAAAAAATACTAGAGTTTTTTTGCAAATAGAGAGCACGACTACTATGAGAGAGGCATTACGAAGTTACCTTAAAAATGGCAACAAATCATATAACAAAACTTTGCATATTTGGCCCAAGTCGCACATTCCGAAGCATGTTAAACAAAGTTCTATAGTTCATATACAAA